AAAACTGTGTGCAAGTGTCAATACATCTCTCTGTCGGAAAAAGACAAAAAGTAATTATTCAGTCACCTGGAGTAGAGACCTGGAGAGCACACAGGGAGACTGCTCACTGAACTCACAGAAGAAGTCCTGAAAATAAAAGACAAAAACTATTTTGGTACATTTTGAATGAATGCTTAGATCAAATATATTGTCCTTCAAAGCATGTACATATATAGAATGATGAACACTGAAAAAACCAGATAGCATTTCATTTCAAACTACATAAGCAATAAAACAAACACAAAAAAGGCTTCACCAGTATGCCGTGCAGGTTGGTGGTGCTGATCACGTCACACACGGTCTTGATACGGTCTATGAGTTTGCTAAAGTACGCCACCATGTCCTCCCTCTTGATGATCTTGGCGTAGCGAGGAAAGGTAGGCGGAAGCAGTCTCTGGTTGACCAGGGGCTCAAAACCCATCATGATGGGGTGGTCTGATATAGACACAAGCAAAACAGAACAAAGGGAAAACACATTAAGAAAAGATCTTCCCTTAGCTTAGAGGCTGCCTCAGCTATTTTGAGTGGAAGTAGAAATGTTTAACAAACGTGTTGTAGCTCTGTGTGGAGATGGGTTAAGGTAGAGAAGATACACGTGTGTGTGTGTGTGTGTGTGTGTGTGTGTGTGTGTGTGTGTGTGTGTGTGTGTGTGTGTGTGTGTGTGTGTGTGTGTATTACCTCCTTTGGTAGTGTCATTCTGGGACTGGATGCCGTGCTGAATACTGGAATGAATGGCTGATAAGAGGTCAGCTGCCTGGACCACAAGCTTCTGGGCCTCGCCTACCGAACTGGTCTGATAAAGATACAACGGTAAGCAAAAACTCACTTTACAAAAGAAGAAAATTACCAACTAAACATACAAGTTATTACAATCCTCTTCAATGCTACTACGCAGAACAACATTTTATAAACCACGTGATAGGCATTAACTTATACATTGTGTGTGTGTATTACCTCTTTCTTGGTAAAGGTGATGAGTGCAGTCAGTAGAAGGCGTGTAAACTTGATTCTATTGAAAAGGGCCAAATACTGTTGATGCTGGAAAAAAAGAGAGAATATTCAAACAGGCTCATGCGTACATGCAACACTATTAATGAACATATTTCTAGCTTGTCTTTGAAGCTTTACAAGGCACAACGAATGACAAAGGCTGGCATTTAGTTATATTTTGACCACCCAGAAAAAATCTAGTACCCACCCTGATGGACAGAATAAGGAAAAGGAAATATAACAGGCATAGATTAAGAGGGAGGGTTATAGGTTTACTTTGTGTCTGAAATGTTGGAATACTAGGCTAAACTAATCAAGAGCAGAGACATATTCTGAATTTCAACTTGTAGTCATATGCAATTTATGTGGAAACTGCAACCACATGGGTTTGAAACACGTTTTGAGTTTTCAGAAAAAAAACGTACCTCTCGCTCAACCTCAGGGTCCCGCTGCTCACCCTGACGGGTGCGTGTGCTCTAAAGCAGAAAGAGATAAACCAATATATTACTATTTTAATACTATAATACTCTAGCATTCTTCTCAGCAATATTCAAATGGAAATGAGTTTGGATTAAACTGGCTGAAAACAAATACCTTAACTTTCCTCTGTAACTCATCCTCCACATCTTTCAGCATACCTGGGAAGAAAACAAACAAAAGAGGGATTAGTTTTTAACTCACCATTGTTGCAATGAGATCATTATAAGTGGAGCTGTGGACTTTATGATCTACTACAACACTTTACTCTTACCTGTCACCCGCAGGTCTGTGACATTATTGGCCATCTTGAAACCATAGGTCATGGCCTGGAAATCCTCCTACAAAATAGATACAAAGTCAATTAGTATTGTTACTTATTAATACGACACTGACTCATCAATCAATTGCAACTTTAACACTGTTCAATATATTACAAATATACAATAGAAGGCAAAGCAGAAACGTATTAAAAGAAAGATTAACTTGTAAAAGCCAATAACTCAAACATTTCCACATTCTGGTAAAATGGCAGGAAGTCAGAAAGTAGCTTACCTCCTCGAACACAGCAGCCTTGTTGACCTTCTCTCGGGCGATGTCACACACCTTCAGGATGCCCAGGGCAAAGGCTTTGAGGGCGGGCTCCTCGATCAGGTCGGGGTTATGGACGTACAGACAGGTGAACACAGTCTGCGCCAGTGAGTGGCCCTCCAGCCATGTGATCTAGGAATACACACAAACATGCACACATGAGTACAGGGTTTCCTGCAGTAGTGCTGATCTACAATACAATGGGCTTAAATGGATATAATGTCATAACATTTTCCTGACTTTTTAATCAGTTCATTGTTTATCAGTTCAAAAGATAAAAGTTTGCTATAAACTACGAGATTTGGTGGTCATTAATTCATTATATTTTCATTTGAGTATTTTCATGTAGAATGACAAATATATATTTGACATTATATCGAATCCACAGATTTCTTTTGTGCACTACATCTCACGAAATTCAACAACATTTCATAAAGAAATGTAACGAGTAAGAATGACTTCATCAGTGCCATTGAATAAAACATTAACCCGTAACTCACTTTTTGTTTGTGGGTCTGTGGAGGGGAGTTACTCTAAACACAACATTTGTTCTTCAAGGGTCAGAACAATTAAAAGCTTTTACATTCACAGAAAACCCCCCAATGTTTAGAAAAAGAGAAACTCACCAAACAGCAGAAAGATGTGTCTATGATCCCGATGAGTTCAGGAAGACTAAGGTCTTTCACCTTAATGGCTCCTTCCTTGAACAAATACAAGAGAGCAATACAAATGACTTTGACCTAGGTGGTTAATTATATTGTTTATTTAAAACAAATATAAATATTAAAAGTAGAAAATGCAAACAGAGTTGTACATTTAATCTCGCTTTATGTCTTAATTCCTATTGTAATTACACAGCCGTGAGAGGTCAGCGGTACCGTACCTTGATAGCTTGTTCGAAGTTGAGCACTTTCCTGTTGACCTGGTTTCCAATCATTCCTGCGTCCATCTTAGGATCCATCATCTCTATGGCTGACATGGCCTCAAAAAGGCCAAACCTATCACCATAGACAATACATTTAGTGTCTGTTTTGTATGTGCACAAAGGTTCAACAAATCCTACAGATTCAATAGCTGGAGCATAAATAAAATGGGAAATTTAAACTCTTCCTTTGAAGAAATGTACTGAATTCCATGTTTTGTTATTATCACTGTTTGTGTGTGACACGTCTCTCTCTATTGATATTCATTTAGTCAATGCTATGAAGTCTCTGAAACAGTATTCAGACTTGAAAACTCCTTCTAAAAATCTGTTACATTTAATTGGGAGGGCAAGCATGCAGTGGTATGTTTAAAGTGTTTTCTGAGCCAACTTTTTGTGACAGGCAAAAAAACAATTGGTCCTACTCACAGTTTGTCATGAAGCAACTCTCCAAGGTTCAACTCTGCATAAATAAAACAGGTGGACAAGTCAGTTCCTTTCACAACTGCATACAAAACACACAAACAATTACCAGCGGAACTTGTACCTTTACATGCGCCCTTGAATTCATGTGTAATATCCACCCAGTTGGCATTGTTCTTCATCTTTTCTGGGATGCCGAGCCCCCAGCCGGCATCATCATCCTCAATTGCTGACTTCATCACCATGGTGACTACTTAAGAGAAGAAAAGAGATATAGAACAAAGAGTTCAATGGATGATTGGCTCAAATCAAGTGCCACACTGAAATGAAGAGCCATTTCAGAGCCTTAACATAGCATTGTTGCTTTCCATACATTCCAACATAATCTAAAAAACACACATTTGCATCCATATAGTCGTTTACTACATTCATTCACGTTCTCTACTGGATATTAGATGGCAAACACTTGGCTGGTCCCCCTTTAAACATATTCACATATTAAACCCAACATCAATTGTTTCGCCTGTAATGACATAAATAAATAAATAAATATGAGAACAGACTTAAATGAATCTTTATGTTCATGCTTCTGCTCCTATAAAGCTGAACAGGCAGTATATTATAGTAGGCTCTGAGAACTGACAGGACGATCTTAAATTGCAGCCTAATAAAGTGTAAATGGCACGCTTGAGTGCAGTGAAAAGTATCAGCAATTTAAACCAATAACATGTTAGGAAGTACTATGATGGCTAAGTAGGGAGTTCAAAAACACCATTACTCTATGACTGATTTTTATTTACATAATGTTTTTACAACCACCATCAAATATAAGCAAAATAACATTTTAATTAAGGTGTACTAACTGAGCTAGGGTAGGGGCTACTATGACACTGCACATTGTTTGACCTTATATCATTTGTAGGTAGAGTAATTACAGGTCACAGAAGATATTCATTCATTTTCTTTATTGTTACATTGGAGGCATCTGGTTAAGAGCAAAATAACTTCGCTAGCTACAAAAAATATAATATACGAGAGTAACGATCTGTCCGCTTATTTGTCAACATTATCAACAACACTTTAATGAGTACAATAACGTCTGAAAGTATCTTGAAATACCGTGTGCTAGCAAGCTAATGTTCTCCACAGTGGATGTTTCTTATGAACGGTGCTGGGATATCATCAGTTTAGCACGTTATTCCGTTGTATTATGTATACAAAACAAGTGCACTGATATTATAAAGACAGTTATTGTAAACGAGAACGTACCTTATTGTTGTGTATTAACCATGTAGCTAAAAAAGATCTCTTCAGCGACTGTACAGAGCGGCGCATACATTAAACGTCATCAGCCGCTGTCAACCTGGGGAATGTAGTCCTTATCTGTTATAATGCTATTCAAGCCCCCTTAAGAATGTATAGATTGAAACATTGCCAGTAGAGATATACAACTATATCAATGTTAGATTTTTGGGAAAGTTGTGATGTGTTTGTCTTATACATGCGCTTTAGCTGAAAACCAAGCAGAGAAACGAACTCTCGCGTTGTTAGCCGACAGCCCTGGCAGTTGGAGCCGTCGCTAGTGGGGGCTGGTCTCATCCCTATGGTCTCATCACAACATCATCAGGGCGTTTCAGGCAACACAAACACACGGCAGCGGGCCCCCTTATCTTGGAATTGGTTCACCCTGAATGGGACAGCAGTTCCTTTACATGCAGGTTCGTAAACGCGTCTTTCTTGACAGTTATATGCAGGCCTAGTGCTTTCGCTAATATCGCCTGTGCACGCTTTATTGTTAGCATATTCCTCCGTTAGCTAGCCTGCTGTCGTAGACAGGCGGCCGTTAATGACTGACTAGTGCAGCAGGTGCAGCGGACACTAGCAGCCTCATCTAGCCTATCTAACTTAGCATCTTGTAAAACAGCCTTGCCCATCTGTTTACTAGCTGACAGTAGCCTAATGACAGTGACCAATCAGAGACCATTAGAGCATCTATGCCAAAATGTCCCTGTGGGCTGGTGGTATAACGATAGCTTATCATGTTTTCTAAAGAGATATTTGATTCTACTTTGTGACGAGAGTTACCATCTGGCTTATATAAACTGGCATCCAAAAAAAATCAGTTTTACAATTGCTTTGGAGAAAGCTTCAAATTGATTATCCCTAGTCTCTTTATGGTCTGATCTTGCTGCTCCTCAGCCCATAAGATCATCGGGACGTCAACTGGTTGTTCCTGTTGTAAGAAAGGGTGGTGGGCTTATGCTGTCTGACTCTGCACATTTTAAACAAACCTGATTATAGAGTTATATGTATTGTATTGATTAATATACATCTTAGCACCTTTTTAAATAGGTTTGTTTGACCTATGTAAAACAACTGTATATTTTTCTAACAATAGTGATGTTGAATGATATCTCAACATTTAACAGCAACATTGTTTATGACTCATCTTATCACAGCCCATAAACCTTTCTGTATGACCGTCTGACCTCATCTTCTAATCTCTTTGGAAACCTGTGACAATTAAATTCACTGAACTGTTGACGAACTTTTCTGCTGCACAATGCTGATTTTTTCCATTCAGAAAAAAACCCAATTTTTTTTAATGCAACTAAAAGCTTAGCATAGCTTTTTTTCAGACCTCCTATTCAAATTACCTTGTCGACTACTGGTCTTTTGTCTCGAGACATTTGAGATCTGCAGCATGTAAGGCAGCCTCTTTGTTTTTGTATTAAATCAGCCAGGACCTTCTGTGTATCAGATAGTAAAGTCTGTCATGGTATAGCCATCTCTGCAGCTGTAGCTTGTTCCAGGGTTAACACATATGGACAGACACATTCACAGCTATGGGCAGTTTAGGTTGATCATTATCTTGTCTTTGCTAGATGAGGCTGACTAGAGCCTGGGGTTACAGCAAGGAGTTAAGTCAGTGGGACCTGTTCTGGCACACAGGTTAATTATGCAAATGTGTTAAATTGTACAGCATGTCTTAATTTTCTTTTTTCTTGCAGACGACATGACATGTTGAAGTAGATAAAATGAACAAACCCAAAATGGCCACAGATAAAGGGTGAGTTGCTTGGCTATTTGAGGACAACCACATTAATTGTGCACCTTAACACATGCAGGCTGTGAAATGTAGTATGTTAGTGTTTCTGGGTGAAATCTGCAACCATCTGTTCACACATTCTCTTTCTCACTCTCTATGTCACTCACTGAGTGCTTACATTTATTCTTTCTGGAACTATTTTGCTTTGTAACTGTCCCTCTCCACAAGTGTTTGTTGATTCTGTTTATTTTCCTGTTGCACTGTGTGCCTCCAAAATAAACTGTTATTGTGCAAGACAGCAGTTAACTAATTGCCTTTCCATTTGAGTTGTCATGATGACTTTAAATAACAACACTCATCATTAATGCAGCAAAAAGACCCCTGTAATAAACCTCTCAGTGTTTCTCCTGATCTTTTCTAGCTTTATATTGTGTTCAGTCACTGATGTTACTTAGTCATCCAGTTTGTAGATTTAGGCTGTCTTTTCTTCTTGCTATGTTTTCCCTTGTCTAGATCACTTTTTTCATCATTCTTTCCCTTTTTCAATGTTTTCTTTTTCTGTCCACACACACACACACACACACACACACACACACACACACACACACACACACACACACACACACACACACACACACACACACACACACAGTTTCTCTCTCTGTCTTTATAAGGATATATGAGAAACTTCGCTCCACAGGGTTCAATCACAGAGTTTTGATGCTCTCTCCCATGTTTGCCGTTGCTGTACTAACAACTGACCTCTAACCTTGTGTTTCCAGCTGAGCGCCACTGAGCTAAGATTATAACCATGGGATGGTCACTTTCCCAGAAATAGTGAAGCGCTAAGAAACTGCCTCAATGGTCAACTTAATTGAAATGAATTAAAAAGAGATAATATACAATAACATACATTGCCTATGTGGGTGTTTTCTATTTAGCACTGCCCTTTAGAACAGAGAAGGCTATTTATGTTGGTTATTATTCTGGTTTAGACATATTTCACTCACTTTAAGCATAAAAGGGCATGTGCCCATATGAGGGGCTGCTATGTCTGTTCTCCGGGTTAACTCCATGCTGGATAAACTAAAACTGATCCATCATTCTAATCCCTTTTTAATCTCAGACATGAAGCAGGAAATAGTAACAGATTTCTCTCTTAGCACATGCTTATGTATTAAGCACCCACTTTGTAAATGCATCCATATGACACACTACGCTTTTATACTGACCTCAGACCTTTCCAGATGGGCTTGAATATGCAATATATAAATAAATAAATAAATACATACTTTTTCCTTCATTTTCCTTTCATTAAAATCTTATAATGGAATGGATTAATGTATAACATGTTCATGTTACATATATTTCTCTAAAAAGTAAAGCTGTTTGTTTGTGTGCGTGCGTGTTTCCAGCGTTCCCAGTAACTCCAGGGTCCTGATGCTCCTGGCCCAACTGGAGAGGATGAATGGAGAGACCATGGTGAGAGATGTCGAAACAGCAAGACAGGTCACTGCAAAGATATATCATCTCATACAGACACAGGGTGAGAGCAAACACACACACACACACAACATGCAATGCACTGTTCTCAAACTGTAACAAAAGAAAGACTAAATCTAGTAATTTCCCTGTATTTATGCGTTTGTTCAGAGACATGTGGTATGTGAGTATTGGTGTTATCTCAAGCTAAGTGTGATAACATGAACAGTGCTGCCACCTCTTTGTTTGTGCCGATGTACTAGACACAAATCGTTTTGTTGGCAGTAACTTCTGTCGGCATTGTAATATGTTTTTACAAAAACGACAACTCTAATTGTAATCAAATCAACCACTGTGTTAACTATTACATAAGCAAATATACAATATTGAATAGAATGAAGGGTTACACATACAGGAGCATCTCCCCTCCAGATTAGCACCCTGCTCTTAAAATGGGACAAAAACAGGGAACACATAGGTAGAATAACTAATACAAATAAAGTAATTTATTGACCACAACATATTCAAAACATGCCCAACAAATATTGAGTAAAAGTGTAGGGAGTGGATTACTAATAATTTGCTGCATGGCTGTTGTGCCGTTAAAAAGAAGGAAAATAAATATCTAAACCACAACACAGAAGTGTGTGAGATGAGATCAGTCCCAGAGGACTGGATCGGTGTGTCCCATGACGCTGATTACCCTCCACCTGGTCTGCAGCCCTGGCGACAGAAAGCAAAGCAACATCCCAGCACACAGAGCAGAGGGGCCGTCACATTTATTCCACACACTCTTCATCCTTTTCACAACCTGGTGCCTCCACTACAACAATGTTACTTCAACGGCGGCAGTTTGAGTCAGAGGTTCCGGTGGATGATGCTAGGAGCTAATGTTGACTTATGGTACTCATTTGAGGCCATCTATCATATTTGACCTGTGGAGCCACACATGTCTTTATGCAGATTTAAGCTCATACAGTAGAACTCCTTTCCACCTGTAAACTTTGATGTGTTACCTTGGTTCTCTTTAAATTGCCGCTAAGCTTCAGCTAGTCAGGTTGAGTTCAACTCAAATTAAACTGTGTTCAGTGCAGCTGCTGTGATGAGTTGGGGGTAGTCAAAGTGTGGATCAATTGATAGTGTCTTCAGATCTGGTTCTCTGATTACTCCTTGAAAGGAGAGCAGAGAAGAAGATCTGACAGCAGAAGAAGCATTGAGACGCACCGCTGTGTCGAACACGACTGAATACTGGGGCAGTAATTATAAAACTACAACACAATCCCTATTTATTCTACAAAAAAGAGCAATAAGACTTATTAAAAATGTCGGCTATAGGGATCATACAAACCCATTATTCTTAGAGTTAAAATTATTAAAACTGTCAGATCTTGTTGAATTCCAAATTGCACAAATCATGTTTAAGGCAAAACATGTTCAATTACCTGGGAATATTCAGATATTGTTCAATGAAAGACAAGGGAATTATTATTTACGTGGTTCATTTATATTCACTAATGTTAGGGTGCGCACAACAAAGAGACGTTTTTGTGTTTCTGTTTGTGGGGTGAAGATCTGGAACAATTAGAGTGAGGAGCTAAAGGGATGTCCAAACATCAAACTATTTAAAAAGAGATATAAAGACACAATTCTCACAAGGCACAGGGAGGACACTGCTAAACCATAACTGTTTATATTCTTGTTTTGTATTCAATTTATGAATTTGTGTTTGTATGAATTTGTGTATGTACATATGTATATATATATAAATATAGAGACCATTCTCCTAACTTGCCTGTATATATTATATGAATGATTATATAAATTATTCAAGATTATAAGTATACATTTATATTGTATGTTAACATATATTAAGTTGTAAAAAAAAAAGGGAGAAGGGGTCGGATTAAATAAGTGTAAACTTCTTCCGACCCCTTTTCGGACGTGTAATTAGCTAAAGCGTTGTTGTTTATTGATATCAGACAATGATACTACAGATTATTCAATTATTAATGAAATATTTTGTTTTGTTATTACATTCATTTGTATAGTACTGTATCATGTCTGTATCATCTTTTGTTTCATTTGTATTTTCTTTGGTTTTACACGCTCGAAAAAAGAAAAAAAAACTAAACATTTTGGTACATTTAATATTTTTGTACTTCATACTGTTGTTTATCTTGGGCTTTTGGAAATTCGATAGGCATTTTGTACTACTTTGGGACACATTTGTAGCCAAACATTGTATCAGTTAATAGAAAAAAGCACCAATTTTATTGACCGATTAATCAATAATGAAAACATGAAATACTTGAAATACAGTTTTTAATTAAAATATTAAGAATTGTTTACCACAGTACTACAGATGTGAACTATTTACATTATGTTTATTTGAATACTTAAATAAAAAGTTTTTAATCAGTGGCACTTTCTTGCCACTACGAGTTTCTTAAGCTAGGGCAAGTTAGTCATAAGAATTTAGGTAAAGTAGAACCTTCGGTGTGAATCTGAAAATGTGTGCTGAATCATCTCCTTGAAGTTTTAAGCATGCTGACATTTTCGTACTTCTTTACTCTTCATCTCCTCTCACCATAATTCATCCCGTCCTCCCACTTTAAAGTTAAACGTTAATCCGTCCCAACGGCTGGGCTCAGTGGAAAGGCTTCTGTGTGTGACCCTGTTATTCCTGATATATCAGCTGTCCTTCTACTGTTGGCTGTCTGTCACACCCCGCCTGCAGCCTCAACTTGAAATGTGTATGAGCGAGACGTTGATGAGGGGGAAAGACGGGGTCTGGCCCGGTTCACTGTAACTAAACACGCCAAGACCGGCTTTGCTGTACTCTTGTCTCATGTTCATAATTTTTGGAGCTTAGTAGACAGTCTAGAGATACAAAGATAGTAAACAAGGATGATAGCGAGAAGGAAAGTATGAATCGGATGAAAAATCAATGAAATATAACTATTTTAAACAAGAAGCTTCACAGACCATAGTAAATCTTGTGTGGTTTAATAGGAAATGTGTCTAGTATAAAAGGTAACAATTCTACATTTTTTGCTGTCTGAAATTCAGTGCTTGTTTTTATTTAATAGCATGGCAGCTTTCTCTTTCCTCACAGAGCTGATTAGGAGAAAGGGGGGAGGAAAGAGGAGAGGACGTGTGAGGAGAGGTTTCCTATACAGTTGTCGCATTTCTATAGGAGCAGCTGGAGGTCTAATTTCTCGTTCTTGCAAGGGAAAGTTTCTGCTTACTGAGTTCATGGTGTCCTGACCCTTTGCTTTGTGTTGGCACCATAGGTTGGCAAAAAGCTGGAGGATTGAGAGTAGAGCAGTTTTCTTCTAGCCTTACAGGGATATTGAAGTACAAAATATGTTCCAAAGGGCTTTTTCACTTCATATAGCCCATCAAACGTTGACAGTTAAATTTACAGTAGACCTGTGCAACCTTAGTCTTTTGAGCCTGTTCACCTGGGATTTTGGAAAAAGGACTTTTCTTTTTACCCAAAGCTTTAGTCAATTTTAAGAGCTTTGAAATGGAGTACCGCTACGGCAGGAGATATTATCAATCTGCAGTTTCCCCAGAGCCACCAGGTAAGATTAAGAATGAAATATATAATTCAGGTGTTTTTGATAAAATGTATATATTCTTTGGGCATTTTACATTGCAAATATTTCACCTTCTTCAGGCCAGGTGAGATAACAATAACCATCTAATGTGTACAGTTAATGGAGTTAATACTTCAAGCAGTCATATATTACTTATACGATCACTCGAAATGAAAAATATGTAGGTTTTTGTGCGGATCAGTTAGCTGTCAATCTGCTCTACTCAGATCATCGGAATTAAAATAGATAGATTGCAGTAAATAGATTGTAACCGATCATAATTTATAATTATTTATTATTTTTCAGTGATCTATGTGCAATCCCTTGTGTGTATGTTTGTTTTAGATTTTTGAGGATTAGTGTTGAAAGGCCAGTTGGTTTTGGAGAGCTTTAAAAAGTCTGGCATGACAAATGTTTTAAGAGGTTGTGTGTGTGTGTGTGTGTGTGTGTGTGTGTGTGTGTGTGTGTGTGTGTGTGTGTGTGTGTGTGTGTGTGTGTGTGTGTGTGTGTGTGTGTGTTGTGTGTTGTGTGTGTGTGTGTGGTGTGTGTGTGTGTGTGAGATCAGATCATAGAAGCTGCATGATTGACATCATGCTGTGGGTAATTCCAGATACATGAAACCCTCACGTGTGTAGGATCATCAACAGGCTTCATTTTGACCCAACCCCAGTTGGTGTTTGTTGGAACAATGTGAAGAAAGACGGTTGAGTTTTTTTGTTTCTTTGCTGAGTATTTTTCAGATTGAACTGTATTTTGTTAATTAGTAATAATTATTCATTCAATACCCATGTTGATTTGATTTATTGTATATTCTCTTCAACACGTGTTATAGCATTAGACCGTAAAAGGTGGAAAATGCGTGTGTCAAATAAACAAGATACCTGTGTATTCTAGTTAATAAAATTCAGTATTTAACTTGACATTTAAATATTACACAGATTCTTTATTGTATGTTATTTTATGTAAATGTAATCCTCTTTAATAAGTTAATACTGGTTTCAAAACAGTCCTATAAAAGGAACTAAGGGCCACTTTCAGGTTGAAGGAAAGTGGCCCTTAATCTGTTGTTGACTCTGTCATGTGTTTTTGTTTGGAGAGTTTGCATTTGTTTCAAAACAGGACTGGCTCAATCACTGAGGCCTCTTCAAAGAACACTGGAATCTGTCAGCCCATAAATTACAGGGCAGCTGTGCGGCGTGATTGAAAGGGTTGAAGTAGGAATTACAGCACAATCGTTTATTTTCCCATGTTTTTCAGTGGGATAGGTAAAGGTAAAGCTTGTGTGCGAAAGGAACTATTTGACACAAGGTAACAGTTAAAGAAAAATGATCTATTTATTGTGCAATGAAGCAGTAACCCAGGGCAGAGGTCTTCACACGTTCCAGGATAATCCACTGTGACGTTGGGACTTGCCTTTATGGCCCAGCCAACGTTTACAGGACAAGCTGCTGTAGGTGGAAAAACAGCCCTCACATTGTTTGTACAGGACCAAGCACAGCTGTTTATCTTCACATCTCTGATCCTTTTTGTTTTGTTGTGTGTTGCAGAGAAGAGCGGAAAAGAGGTGATGTCCAAAGGCTCCAGTGGCATGGAGGTCATCCTGGCTTCGCTGGAGGTAAGCTCACTCATCAACACAGCAGGAGATTGCTGCTCAGAATATGACAACACTAAGTTTACTCAGTTGTTTTTGTTTCTGTTTGCACAGATTGATAGATTGATCAATTGACTAAACTAAATTAGCTTGATATTTAATGTACAGTAAGATAACACGAGAATTATATCAATCTTATCATACAACTCTTGTGAGAAAACAAATCAGCAATAGGAAGATGTCTTTCCCCTCCCTTTTAGGAATCCTTCTTAAACCTATTAGACATCTCCAATATGAGATTGGCCAGAATTAGCTCAGTGTTTTCAGGCAGACATAAGAAGCATCCCTGGTTTTGTATAAACAGCTCTAGGAAACTACACTACAGATGACACATCAAAGGCCCACAGTAATATTCACTATGTATAGATCTGAATGTTTTTTTAACGTGTGTAATGTATGTGGCTCTGGCAGAACACCAGGGACGTCCCAACCACTCTGAACATCTTGTACATACTCAGTGAGCTGCTGACTGTGGGTACGTAGAGCTTTCCCTTTTTTTCCAAACCCAAAATTGATGAGCAGTTCATGCCCTGATTTTTAGAGCTAATAACAACATTAACTTCCTTGCTGGATAATAAGTTAGCGGGCAATTTAACTGTCCTTTCCAATATTCTTTTATGACTCTGACTAGTAGTACATCTGTTCTAAAAAGCATAAACAACTCAGTTTAACACTCTTATAAATGGTGATAGTGACTTCAGCTGGGATGCATAATGTTTTAAGGTTTGTGCTTACCAGGATTTCCACTGCATATTTCCATGATGAATTATGTTTTATCACATCTAATGCTGTCTGTTTTCTGTCTATAGGCAGAGGTCGCAGGGTAGGAGTATTTGTGTCTAAAGGAGGAACAGGAATATTATTCCAGATTCTGATCGGTGCCAGTAAAGAGTTGCCTCCCAGTGAAGAACTCATGCTACAGCTTCACTCACTGCTTGCCAAGGTTGGACCAAAAGGTAGGATCAATGTCACAGTTTCAAACACATCAACGTTTGCTTTTGTCTCTGTTCTCACCATTTAACTGTGTTATATGTCCAAAATGTCCCTTATGTCAGTCTGGTCTGTGCTATTAAAGGTGCCCTGTTAACATTCCTTTAAACAAATGAAAGCAATGTTTACGCTGTTCCTGCTAAAGGAAACACATTGTGTATTAAGGAGACTTTACTTCCTCATAAAATATTTGAGATGCATTGCTTACTGAACCGGCAGTGTTCTTCTTTGCAGGAACATTGATACTTTTCTTGCACGTAACTGCCACCTGTAGATCAGAGTTCCCGTTAGAATATTTTTTCGCCGGTCAACATGTCCGTTAAAGTTTAAATCTTCCGGACAAAATGAGAAAAGTGCCGGTCAAAAGTCTTCTTTGTTATGTATTGTGCTTTAAAACAAATTGATATTATTCGATATTAGACAAACTAATTATAGTAGATTAACTATTCAAAAGTGTACAGTAATTATAATAACACGGGAATAATAAACGGAGCGCTCTCTCCTTCTCCTGACAGCCCGTCAGTATCATGCAGCTCGCGGATCAGTAATGAGTGACCCGACAGTAAAACTAAACTTATCTATAACTAGTTTAGGTAGTTTGAGAGGTCATTAAAATAGCTATGTGTGATATTCTAAACTGAAGTGTGTGTTTTGTTCCGCTCACCGCTGCAGGTGATCATGCAGAGCTGCGTGTCGACTCGTCAGCAGCAGCTGATCTCTCTCTCCCGCCAGATTAGACTTTACTCGCGTTTATGTCCATATCGATCAGATATAGCTAGTTCTAGCTAATGATATGACTACCTGCTTATTAAAAGACACCTAAACAATAAGTGTCGCTATGCAACCGGGTGAGGCCACAAAGTATAGCGCCGCATTATGAATTTGTTTACATGCCCACCGGAACCCCGAGGCATTACCAACAGATCAACGCACAATCAACCCATACAGGACATCTCTTTCTCCACATTAAGTGTTAGACATTAGAATGGACTATTCTTCTCTGTCACATAGCCTACTCTTTTGTCTGTCACATACGTGGCGCAAATTGCGCAACTGATGCGGTATTGCGCTAAACGTAAATTATTTTGAACGGACACTTTGACCGGAGAGATTTAGATTTGCCGGTCCTCAGCATATTTTACCGGTCGTAGTCCGGTAATTACCGGCTAACGGGAACTCTGCTGTAGATCAATAAAATAGTGGTTGAACCATCCAACAACATTGAAAATGACTGATGTATTCTCTGCATGAACATGTCTTCAGACAGAAAATTCGGAGTAAAGGCGCGTCTGAGCGGCGCGCTGAACGTCACGGTCAACTTAACGAAACAGAACCTACAGAATACTAAACTGCTTCTGCCCTGCCTGCAGGTTCTCAGGGTTTACTCCACCAACTGTAAGTACTTTTAAACTCGACAGTTGTAGATTTTCCCTGCGTCCTCCCTCTCAATTTCTAATTTTGTCTGATATTTATTAATGTATTGTTCTTTTAAAGCGGTGAATGCTATTTCTTTGGGCAAGAATGGAGTGGTGGAAATCATGTTCAAAATTGTGTCGCCATACAGCAAGAAGAACACCAGCCTGCTTAAGTAAGCAATTGATTGCTTTAATGAGCCATCATGAATGCTGTGTGTAAAACAAACCATCACAACCACTGCCTCCACTTTTCTTCCTTCAATGAGCTTTTAAGCATACCATGTAACACATTTGTCTTGTTTCTAAACCAACAGGGTAGCTCTGGATGCACTGGGAGCGCTGCTCAAATCCAGTGAGTAATTTGCTTTGTAACATTGTCTTTTGACTCTACAGTAGTTTAGTGAGCTTTCTTCTTCTGACACTCACACACAATTTGCACGAATGCTTTGCCTGTCCTTGACTGATATTCTGTTTCTCACTGACGCAAACGCACTTTGTGATCATCCAATATGGATTTTAAGTAACCAAAAAAACAAAACGTTTTACACCTCCCATGCTTCTCTTCATCCCATTCCACAGTCGTAAAGTAAAAATCCTCACTGCTTTCTCATGTCCCTCTTCCATGTTTCCTTGCAGAAACGAATGCTCGCCGTGCAGTGGATGGCGGACATGTGCATATCTTGCTCGCTCTCTACCAGGATTGGCATCGCAATGACACACGCCATCGCCACATGCTGATTCGCAAAGGGCTGCTGGTCTGCCTCAGGAACATTACCAACATCAAGCTCGGCAGGAAATCATTCATAGACGCTGATGGCATGCGGATCCTCTACAATTCCTCCACTGTGAGTGAGAAGGGCGTAATACGCATGGCAAACAATAACAGCATTCAGCACACACTTACACTGCTCTACTTTCTGTGTGGTTGTATTTTAAAGGAGTGTCTCCCGGTGCGGACTCTGGATCCACTCGTCAACACTTCAAGTCTCATCATGAGGAAGTGTTTTCCTAAGAACCGTCTGCCTCTGCCTACCATCAAATCGGCCTTCCACTACCAGCTGCCACATATACCTGCTGCAGGTCCTGTGGCGCAGCTCTACAGCCAGCCACCTGGGGGTGAGAATCTCTCTCACACACACACACACACACACACACGCACACACACACACACACACACACACACACACACACACACACACACACACACACACACACACACACACACACACAGTTCACTAGAGAGCGCCCCAGCATAGTGTTTGCGCACAACTTTCATTGTTTTTTTATGCCAAACAGACAGACACATAAACTTATTTAGCGCGGTTAGCTCTCCTAGATTCAGTTCTACATAAGAAAATAAACACATACACACACACAAATAATGATTACATCCCTCGACCGCATGATTGGTTAATGAGAAATACTGCTGCACACAATATGCCTTACAGGAAGAAAGATTCTTCAGCTCTGCAACAGGCCCTTAAAGAAGGGTAAGACGTGCGTAAGAAACATCTCCATCCTCAGAAAACATAGACTCACTCACTGCTGCTTACTCATTTACTTCCCTCATAACTTCATTAAACTAACACATGACATGTGTTAGTAATAAACATGCAATAAAGATGCCTAGTGCACATTGCTTTTTTGCTTGCTTGCTTACTTGTATTGTCCTCAACTAATACGCTTCCTTGTTGCGTCCACAGGTTGTCTGATGAAAAACTTTAGCCTATTGTCTCTTCCCGTTAATGTATTCTTAAAACATGTTCAATCGAAATATAACTTTTCATGTAGCGCTATACTTAGGTGAATCTCCTTGATGATGTCCACAAATGTCAGTAAAAATCTAACAGGAACATATACCACATAGTTGTGTTAACTCCTATTGTCAAAAACATGTCTATGATGTCAGTTGTCCAACTATGGAGAACAGTGTCACAGAACAAGCTACTTGCCTTTCATGTTATCAAAATTCCTCTGTCTTTTAAATCTCTCACCCATCTCTGAATCATGGCTGCTCACATTTTGTAGTTCACATTTTCTCTGTTCTAGTAATTCAACTCGGTGCCCAAAATCCGTTTAGTTTCCTGTCTGTAAAATAATGAACTCCTGACTTTGGCAAATAAATGTAAACCTTAGTTTTAGGGAAAGTCACCTCATACTGTGTGTGTGTGTGTGTGTGTGTGTGTGTGGTGTGTGTGTGTGTGTGTGTGTGTGTGTGTGTGTGTGTGTGTGTGTGTGGTGTGTGTGTGTGTGTGTGTGTGTTGGTGTGTGTGTGTGGTGTGTGTGTGTGTGTGTGTGTGTGTGTGTGTGTGTGTGTGTGTGTGTGTGTGTGTTGTGTGTGTGTGTGTGTGTGTGTGTGTGTGTGTGTGTGTGGTGTGTGTGTGTGTGTGTGTGTTTGGTGTTTTGTGTGTGTGTGTGTGATGTGTGTAGTGTGTGTGTGTGTGTGTGTGTGTGTGTGGGTGTGTGTGTGTGGTGTGTGTGTGTGTGTGTGTGTGTGTGTGTGTGTGTGTGTGTGTGTGTGTGTGTGTGTGTGTGTCAGTGGATGATGTGGTAGATGAAAGTGATAACGAGGAGACAGACGCAGACACAGAGAACGATACTGAGAATGAAGAAGACGAGAAGGATCAAAACACTGCGGTAATATTCAGCACTCGCATGCACACACAATATTTCACATACCTACATTATGTGTAGCACTTAGAGTTCAAATTGTTAAATGAATGTTCTCTGTATGCAAGGAGTGTTAAAGAGACACTGCAGAGATGAGGCCTAAGTCAAATACATCATTAACGTTTTAGCCTTAACATTTTTGCATCATGATTGAACTTTAGTAAGAATTATTGTTTTAAAAAAAATTATTATTAGCCCTCATTGGCTAAACAATGGGAATCTATAAGTGTATCGGGGGAGTTTGTATCAATGATAAAATACTTAACTTCAACAGATTGTCAGTTTTTTCTGACACACCTCCAGCAGGGGGCAGTCATAAGCCAGACAGTGCCTAACACTCTCATATCACATGCCTCCCATATCTGATATGTGGTATTTACAACTATGGATGAAATGAAAACATTGTTCAGGTCTTTTTATGAGTGAGTTGGCATTCCAGCGAGGCACTGAACATTTCAGAGCACTATAACATCCCCCTAAAATTAAACATAGGTGTCAAGGTTCTGTGTTCTCTGATCCTTCTCATTACATTACATTGCATTTAGCTGACACTTTTATCCAAAGAGACTTACAATAAGTACATTCGACCAGGAAGACACAACCTTGAAGAAAACAGAATCATATAAGTACATCAGGTTTCATAGAGCCAAACATTTCAAGTGCTACTCAACTGGCTATAGATAAGCCAGTACTTTATTAGTATATAAGTGCTCTGTTAGCAGTTATTTGTTAGTAATTCTATCGCTCGAGGTAGAGTCGAAAGAGATGAGTTTTCAGTCTGCGCCGGAAGATGTGCAGGCTTTCTGCTGTCCTGATGTCAATGGGGAGCTCATTCCACCATTTTGGAGCCAGGATAGCAAACCCACGTGTTTTTGCTGATGGGAACATGCGTCCCCCTCGCAGCGAGGGTGCAGCGAGTCGTTTGGCTAATGCAGAGCGTAGTGCACGCGCTGGGGTATACAGTTTAACCATGTCCTGGATGTAGGAAGGGCCAGATCCATTCGCAGCATGGTATGCAAGTACCAGTGTCTTGAAGTGGATTCTAGCAGTTACCGGAAGCCAGTGAAGGGAGCGGAGGAGCGGAGTGGTGTGGGAAACTTTAGGAAGGTTAAAGACCAGACGAGCCGCTGCATTCTGGATGAGCTGCAGAGGTCGGATGGCACATGCAGGTAGACCAGCCAGGAGGGAGTTGCAGTAGTCTAGGCGTGAGATGACGAGAGCCTGGACCAGAACCTGCGTCGCTTTCTGGGTCAGCTGGGGACGTATCTTCCTGATGTTGTAAAGCGTGTATCTGCAGCAACGGGTTGTAGCAGCGATGTTTGCAGTGAAGGACAGGTTGTTATCTAGGATCACTCCCAGATTCCTTGCAGTCTGAGTCGGGGAAACAACAGAGGTGCCGATGTTGATTGTCAGGTCAAGAGTGGGACAATCTTTTCCCGGAAGAAAAAGCAGTTCAGTCTTGTCAAGGTTGAGCTTGAGGTGATGAGCAGACATCCACTGAGAGATGTCAGCTAGACAAGCAGAGATGCATGCGACGACCTGGGTCTCTGAGCGGGGAAAGGACAAAATTAATTGGGTGTCAGTGGTATGAAAAACCATGCGGCTAATAACTGATCCGAGCGAGTTTGTGTACAGGGAGAAGAGGAGGGGACCAAGAACAGAGCCCTGAGGGACCCCTGTAGTTAATTGACACGAGTCGGACTCGGACCCTCTCCAAGTTACCCTGTAGGTACGGTCTTTGAGGTATGAGGTAAGGAGGGAAAGTGCAGAGCCTGAAACTCCAAGTTCTTGGAGAGTGCGAAGGAGGATCTGATGAATCACCGTGTCGAATGCAGCAGACAGGTCCAACAGGATGATGACAGAGGAGAGGGAGGCTGCTTTGGCAGTGTGCAGTTCCTCAGTGACAGCAATGAGAGCAGTTTCTGTGGAGTGACCTGCCTTGAAACCAGACTGGTGCGGATCCAGAAGGTTGTTCTGATGGAGATAACAGGAGAGTTGTTTAAAGACAGCGCGTTCAAGTGTTTTAGACAGGAACGGGAGTAGAGAGACAGGCCTGTAGTTTATAACATCAGACGGGTTGAGAGTGGGTTTCTTTAGGAGAGGGTTTACTCTTGCCTCCTTCAGACTGTTTGGAAAGTGACCATAAGTTAGAGAAGTGTTGATGAAATGGGTGAGAAACGGTAGAATATCAGGAGCGATAGTCTGAAGGAGGTTTGAAGGGATAGGGTCCAGAGGACAGGTGGTAGGGCGGGCAGAGGTAATGAGGGTAAGAACCTCACTTGGAGAGAGAGGGGAAAAGGAGGTTAGTGTGTGGGTGGAGTGTGGGTGGAGTCATATTCATAAGATAACAACAGACTTGGGCATTAGCCCAAATACAGAATAAAACTCAATTTATCCCCCATCTGTCATCCAGACAACACACATTAAAAAGTATAACATTGATGTGTGTGTTTTCTCCCTTTGTGTCTTGTCATCAGAATGATGACATAGAGACGGACCTCAACAAGCTGCATCCCAAAAAGAACCCTGGCCGTCCGTTCGAGGAGTTGAGGGTCTATGAGAGGTTCTTCTTGGAGCTTTCTGAAGACTTCCAGGTCAGTCCTTTGTGACTATGTTGACAAAGGTTTTTAGTATGAAAATATGACCAAAACATCCAGTTATACCACATGAATTATTGGTGTATTGATATGCAAGTATTTGACAACATTCAACAATGTGTTTCACAATACTCTCGGTTGTGTCTGTATATTTTTAACACATACTTGTTCTTAAGTTTGATCTTATTTGCTCATACTATTGTGCGTCAGAATGAATTATTATGAAACATACATTAAGTTTACATAGAAATATATGTTCACGAGATCAATTTATGACCTTATTTAGTTTTTATTTTCCTTTTTTTAATCATATGATTGTTAGCTTGAGAAATTGTTTTATTTTCATGTTTTATTTGTCCTTTATGTTACTATGATTGATGTTATTACAATGAGATGAATCCATTTTACCCTTACGCTAAGTATTGCTCATTGTTTGTATTGTTATTGGTAGATCTTCAATTTTACGGGTTGAGTGTGAGGTCTCTACCACATTTTATTACTCATCGCCACATCTTATTCCTGCAGGGTTATAACTTTGAATCCTCAAAGAGTGCCTCTACCACATCATCTTTCTCCTCATCGTCAGCCTCGAATCGATCCTCTCGGCCAATCATAGTGCCCACAGCTCAAGCCCTGTCCCCAAAGCACGCCCACACATTGAGCTCTCAGGAGGATTGCAACCCAACAAAAGGACAGCCCCCCCTGCCGGCTCCATCAGCTCCCACTCCTGCTCCCCCTCTCACACCTCTAGAACTGGACACCATCCACCTCACCAAGGACCAAGAGGCCCACATTCCTTCCCCCGACACACGTACAACATTGCCCTCCCTCGCCAGGCCTCCATCTCAAGGGCAGATGATGGAACAAGACCTAGCACATGTGTTTGAGTGTGTCTCTCTAGAACAGGAGGGGGCCCTGAACTCAGGAGAAGGAGGAAGGGGACTCAAACAAGATGGATCCCCAGTCAATGCCACGAGACACATTCAGTCTCCTCTGCTTTTGGGAGGTATTGCTACCCGTCGTGTGGGAGGAGGCAGCGGCAGTAACCTGGGTTCAGAGTGTGGCTCAGAGGGTGCCGAGGATGAGGGGGGGGAAGGAGCCGTTTTGGAGGTGCCAGACACTGCGCTGCTGCTCCCGCTGCACGACCCCGACCTCTATGTGGAGATGGTGAAGGGAACACACTCTGTACCCCAGTACGCAGAAGTGGCTTACCCAGACTACTTCGGACATGTACCCCCAACATTTAGGGAACCCCTTCAGGAGAGAGTTTATGGTGTTCAGAGGTGAGGCCCTATTCTAAAAAATTTGATATGCAGAAATGATTTAGCAAATAAACTAAAAAGGGGATACAGGTAATACAAAACTTGAGTGTTAAATTAGAAACCATGCAATCAGTAGAAAACTGAAACTACAGTGTACTATTGTGTTTTCCGTGCCACACAGATTAATAAGAAAAAACAAATATTTTCTCTTTATAATATTTACTGTATTAGACACTGAATGTGAGCTACAGTTTACACTTCTAGCTTTGCTTTGTCTTTAAGGCCTTGGTTGTGGGTAAAGGCATTTTTGTACAGCTTATTGCATTCATCCTTATTAATAAACAGTATTTTGTTATGAATAACCTATGTGTGGTTCCATTGTATCAACCGTGAATCTGTTTTTTGGGTGTAATCCTGCAGGTCTAAAATATTCCAGGACATCGAGAGGTTAATCCATCCTAATGATATTGTGGATAAAGTAGTTTATGACCTAGACATTCCCAGGTGAGTCCCTCTTACAGAGCCCGATAACGTAAAGTATTGCATGCTTTGCAGTCTAAACGGACCAAGACATATTTCTAAGCTACCCTTTTGTCATTTGTCTGATTCTGTTGAATACTGTGACATTTTCAAAGGAGATTACCTCAATCTATAACCCACATTTTGTTGTGTTCAGTTGTCCTGTGGTTGAAGATGATGGTGAATCACTGAAGTTCAACTCTCAGTTTGAGTCTGGCAACCTCAGGAAGGCAGTTCAAGTTAGGAAGTAAGTATTTATTTATTTATTGAATCAGTTAAATAGGAAGTAGTAGAAGTCCACAATGCAGTTTTAATTAAGTCACCTTTCAATATCATCAAGCTTTGGACAACCAACGTTGACTATATTTTACTGTGTGTTTTTCCAGATATGAGTATGACCTTGTGCTGAATTCAGACATCAACAGTAATCACTACCACCAGTGGTTCTACTTTGAGGTGAGTGGCATGCGTGTCGGAGCCACCTACCGCTTCAACATTATCAACTCTGAGAAGTCCAACAGCCAGTTCAACTATGGTGAGATACACAACAACATGTAAAACATTGTTTTAGTATGTTATCCTCCATTTGACTGGCAGAATATTTTCTTTTCTGAATATTAGATTAAATGAGACTGTATTGAATTGACCTAGCACCCATATCATTGCTTAAAAAGGTATAACTAAAAGTTGTGTGTCTGATTGACTGTGTGTGTGTGTGTGTCTGTTTGACTGTGTGTGTGTGCAGGCATGCAGGTGCTAATGTACTCTGTGCAGGAGGCGATCAGCGGCAAGCCTCGCTGGGTCAGAACAGGAACAGACATCTGTTACTACAAGTAGGTGCACTCTATGGGGAGAGTGGAAAGGCAGAAACCACTTTTTTAATAAGAGTAGTTTAATACAACTTACCAATTTTCCAAAATGCGGCCGCTGTGCTGCAGTATAGAAGTACCTTGTATATTTATATGTTTTATAAACAGCAGCTATAAAGCACTCTCGACTAGTTTATTGCACTGACACCATTATTATGAGTTATTAGTGTACTAAGTACTGCAACATCTTTGAAAAGAATCCTTTAGGTAGAAAAATAAATTGTGATGGACGCTTTACACCCTTTTTTCACAAATTGCGCCGCATATTTAGAAAGTACTGCATGTATAATTCTACATGCACTTAGAAGCCATTTTATGAGATACACTTGTACTATGCAAGTCATTACAATTTACTGCTATACATTAACATTCTCTAAATGATGGCTATAATGTTCAGTTTTAGGGCTTTTGGGGTTTAGTTTTGAGACACTATCATAGATGCGTTTGTCCTCTTTATAACGATGCAACAATAAACATAGAATATAAAGAATACAGTATAAAGAATGTATGCAATGTACAGAGATAAAACTCCAACATTTTTTAAACTGAGCAGAAGTTTGAGTGTGATATTATGCAACCTTTACTCATAAAATGTTCTTTCTTCTGCAGGAATCACTTTGCCAGGAGTTCCATTGCAGCTGGTGGTCAGAAAGGAAAGTCTTATTATACGATGACCTTCAGCACAAGCTTCAGCCATAAGGATGACGTCTGCTACTTCGCCTACCATTACCCTTATACATACTCCACTCTTAAGGTAGTTCTATAATAACACTGTTTGTAAACTAGAGAGCATTATTATTTATACAAATCCAAGACCATTTACAACTGTACTTCCCCTCCTAAGCACATAGTTAGTTAGTTTTGCCCCTACAAAAAAGTCAAATGTAATCAATCACTTCATAAACCACAGTATGACCACAGATGCTCTCGCCTCTTAAAGGAGTCCTCTGTTGTGTTTCCCTTGCTGTATCACTTATAATTTATTAAAATCTCAGCTCAAATAACTACTGTGCTCTCAAACTAGTACAAAAAACTCATTATTTGAATAGTGTTGTTTTGATTATTGCATTTCCCTGCCTTTTTATACAGAGTGATTTATAATACAAAACACAATAGTAAAGCTCAATCTGAATCACTTAATCAAACAGCCAGTGCAACAACAATAATACACTAACTTGTTAAGAACCCACGAGGGATGGGGGCTCAAATGAAAGTTGTACATAATGTTAGTGTGCAAAATATAACTTGTCCTTGTGTCCTCAGATGCACCTGTCCAAACTGGAGGCTTATAGAACCCCTCATATCTACCTGAGACAGGACGTCCTGTGTGAAACTTTGGGAGGAAACAGCTGCCCCCTTCTCACCATCACTGCCATGCCAGAGTCCAACTCCAATGATCACATCTGTCAATTCAGTAAGTTAATCACTGAATGTGTCGTTTTTATTTGCTCACCATCACCTCCATACCCGAGCAGGAGATTTGCAGCTTCAGGATTTTTAATAAATCGGTAAACTTGATCAGCAGACTGTGCAGGCTATGACTACTGTATGATATATTTAAACTGTTTGTGCTAGGACTTCCATTCTCAGTATTAATACTGAATGGATTATCCTGGTGAAAAAAACCTTCAAAATCATTGAGTTATCATGGGAAATGTTTTATATACAGCATATTTTTGATCACATCAGTATGGAAACTGATATAGGTGTTTAAAATGTATTTTTGTCAGATGTCCTGGTAACAGCTGGCAGCTTGAAACCTTTTGTAATACGCCATAGTATCTTAACATTAAATGGCTGTTGTATTGCCAGCCTGACAAATATAATCTGGTCATTTTGGTGATGCATAATGCCTGGCTCATAGATAGTTTTGCCAAGATTTCCTCTAAAATATTCTCTAATTTACACACATTTTATTTTCTAATGCTTATTTATTTAAAACAAAGGCTTGTTATTAATACATTAGAAAAGCCCTGGGGTATCAGAGCATGCCAATGCTTACCAAATTGTTTTTTGTCCCCTGTAGTTTACTGATGCTGTTCCTCAGCTGTAAAGACTTTGAATTGAACAATCAGTATATTTTCTCTCATTACTGCACTCTCATTCGTTCTCTATCTTTCCCCTTCTTTCTCCCTTTATCTTGCTCCTCAGGGAATCGTCCGTTGATCTTCCTGTCGGCCAGAGTGCACCCTGGGGAGACCAACGCCAGCTGGGTAATGAAGGGCACACTGGAGTTCCTGATGGGCAGCAGCCCACTAGCAGGCAGTCTGAGAGAGTCATACATCTTTAAAATAGTCCCCATGCTTAACCCTGATGGAGTAGTGAATGGAAAGTGAGTAAAAACAGAAATGCACACACATTAACAGCTTTCAAGTATACACACTGAAGATACGGTGCATGTTGACCACAGCTTTATTTTCATTAACACACACAAAGCCTTGTACTGAAGGATTCTCCAGCTGTGGCTCTGCTCTCCTTCACTCTCTATCCTTCACCTCTTCTGCTGTAGTCATCGTTGTTCTCTGAGTGGAGAGGATTTGAATCGCCAGTGGCAGAATCCCAACCTTGAGCTCCACCCCACCATCTACCACACTAAGAGCCTGCTGCAGTACCTTGCACACATACAAAGAGCACCACTGGTATGACCTCCAATTAACTTGGCTTTCTTCTCTTTGGGGGCATTTGTGCTTTGCTGCATCATCTTTCCTCGGGAATAAAGAACCACTCTTAACGTCTTCCTAAAGCGCGTGCCACTTCTCCTGTTGTAGCTGCACACTCAGTTTTGCTGCATTTCCACTAGGCTACACATGATCAAATCAACACATTCAGGCATTAAAGCATATACCATACACAACAGCCTTCATTGCCCTCTGCACTACACTGTGTGTCAGCAATGTTAGATATATATATATTTTATGAGAGATTTGTTTACTGTACAAAGGGTGATGACTTTATAACACAAAGCAAGGTGAGGTTGCTGTCCTTCCTCTGGAAATAAACCTGAGAAAAAATATATTTTGAGATGTATGAGCAGTAACACTGCAGTACTATTGACATTTACAGCCATTATAACACAATATCACAGTGTATTTAAAGAAGATACAGTGAATTAAATTACGCTATTGTAATTATCTCTAAGGATGTGTATTCAACCCATTATTTGTATAGTTTTATTTGAAACAATACAAATAGAGGAAGAGGAAAGGAAGCCCATTTGGATCACTGCCATATACATCTTGAGCTAATAAGTCCTGTGTGTGTGTGGGGTGTGTGTGTGTGTGTGGGTGTGTTTTTGTGTGTGTGTGGTGTGTGTGTGTGTTGGGTGTGTGTGTGTGTGTGTGTGGTGTGTTGTGTGTGTGTGTGTGTGTGTGGTGTGTGTGTGTGTTGTGTGTGTGTGGTGTGTGTGTGTGTGTGTGGTGTGTGTGTGTGTGTGTGGTGTGTGTGTGGGTGTGTGTGTGTGGTGTGTGTGTGTGTGTGTGTGTGTGGTGTGTGTGTGTGTGTGTGTGTGTGTGTGGTGTGTGTGTGTGGTGTGTGTGGTGTGTGTGTGTGGTGTGTGTGTGTGTGTGTGGTGTGTGTGTGTGTGTGTGTGTGTGTGTGTGTGTGTGTGTGTGTGTGGTGTGTGTGTGTGTGTGTGTACACACAGGTCTATTGCGACTACCACGGCCATTCGAGGAAGAAGAATGTGTTCATGTACGGCTGCAGTGTGAAGGAGACCGTCTGGCAGTCCAATATCAGCGCCACGTCCAGTGACTTACAGGAGGACCTTGGATACAGGGTAAACACACACACACCCCTCCTGTTCAGATTACTGTTCTCACATCACTGAATAATAATGAAATCAAACTCAGCACAAAGAGATAACCTACACTAAGTTTACAGAAAAGAGATGCTGTTGGAGTATTTGATATTTACATCAGCACATGTCAACCACCTTACTGTTAACTTTGCATTGAAAACTTTTTCCCCAATTAGCAAAAGATTGTAGAACCATTTTGAATTCTATCTATTTATTTTGTGTTTCGATGCCAGCTCTTATATGATTTACATGTCCAGATGTGATTTACTTCAGTAGTTCACCTTGAATGTTGCTCTGCAGTGGGGTAGGACTTATTTGTTATTTCCGTTCACCAACTGGGCAGGTAGAGATCAGTTTGTCTTTTTATGCTGGATAGCAAAAAAAAGTTTTTCGCTCAGCATAATGCTAATAGAAATGCCATTTCATTACAGATTTTTCTAGTGGACATGTGGCTTTAGGCTACCGGCCACAGCAAGCGTTTTTGGATAACAGCAGCATAAGCTTTCTTAAGCCACTGCTCTGTACTTAAGCCATTCTTTGCTTAAAAAACCGTTGTGGGTCCCTACAATAAAATGACTTTATCATCTGCCCCTTGATGCTCTTATGCCCACAAACCTCAACAATTTGATGTGTTTTTCAGGCCCTTCCTAAGATCCTGTCCCAGATCGCCCCGGCCTTCAGCATGGGGAGCTGTAGTTTTGTTGTGGAGCGATCCAAAGAGTCAACCGCCCGCGTTGTTGTGTGGAGAGAGATAGGAGTGCAACGCAGCTACACCATGGAGAGCACGCTCTGTGGCTGTGACCAGGGAAAATACAAGGTAAGCTTTTATTTTAAAATACAGAAAGACACTTAAGTAATAAAATGTTTTGCTTCTTTGTACTTCTACTGCACTACAATTCAGAGGTAAATCGTGTACTTTTTCTCCACTTACTTTCTTTAGTTACTTTACAGATTGTTTTTAATTATGTAAAATATAAACAACACTTAAATAAGACTTTAGTTACCCCTGGATTATCATTCACAAACTACCCTGAAGTATACAAAACTAGCAAAAATTAGCTGCACCTTTACTAGCTTTGATAACACTATATTACTAAGTATATTTTGATGACAATACTTTTGTACTTTCACTTGAATAACATTTTGATTGCATGGCTTTTACTTGTAACAGAGTATTACTAGACTCTGGTGCTTCTACGTTTACTTAAGTACTCAATCTTAGTACTTCTTCCACCTCTGCTTAAGTGAGAGGGAGGTGCCTCTGTAAATCTCCAAATGTCCAGCAGGTGGAGCTGCAGTCCTGTTTTCTCAGTTTGTATTGCCTCCTCTGTCTTTTCTCCAGCTTTGCGCTGACCTCTTCACTTCTCTTTCTTCTCTCTCACTGTCTCTTCACCGCAGATGATTTCCTTTTCACTGAATTTGGCCAATGTCAACATCTTTCATATTCAGAGGCAGTATAGGGAAACCATTTTGGCACTGATTAGCCCCCCCCACTTGTGTAGAAGTGTTTGTCCAGATGTGCAGGAACTAATGTCTCCTGAATTGGGGCTGCATATCTCTGTGGCCAGGCCAAGTTTAGATGTCCCTAGCTCCGCTCTGGGGAAATGGAAACATGAACGTTTTGTTGGTTGAGTCGGGGTTAAGCTCTGTATGTGTGTCCCTCAGTGAGTATTCATTTACTTGAATGATTGTACAGCACTGAGAAGACTTTGTTAGGGTTGCAGGTGTGAGTACATAGTCTTTTGAATGTGTGCTTCCTGCAAATGAAATATACTATCATGTTTCAACATGAAAAGTTTGCTCAGCAACTGCTTTCCAGCATTGAGAATTGGGCCGTTTGAAGATGGACAACGGCTCCATCCCCAGGCACCCGAGCAGCTGTAAAAACCCCAGCAGCCATTTAAATTATATTCCTGTTGGACCTTTAAAATATATTTTTTTAGGTCTAAGTTGGAAAAGTTCATGAACTTTGCTTGCAAGTTTGAGGATTGTGGCTTTCTCTGTGCCATAGTTAGACCTGGTGAACATATCAGTATTCACCTAGTCTGTATATTTCTCTGATGTACATGCACTCGTGTTGTGTTCAGGGTCTTCAGATCGGCACCAGGGAGCTGGAGGAGATGGGAGCTCAGTTCTGCGTGGCCCTGCTGAGGCTGAAGAGGCTTACGGGGCTCCGCAATCACCAACACCTGCTGGATTTAGAGAGCGATATCATCGGGCCGCACACTAAAGTGGTCAGGTTAGTAAAGTCACACACACACACACACACACACCATTTAGGAATATAGTCTGTGGTCTAACACTACAGAAATCACAAACCAATGATTTAGTTACTTTTATTGTTTCTCAGCATCCCCAAGATATCTGAGTTGGGAAGTGTCTTCTGTTGCCATAAATTCCACCTGGAAAACAGTAAAGTGGCTACAGACTGTTTTCCTTTTTATCTGCACAAATCCCCCTCCTCACTGCCAGACACATCCCCCCTCTTGGCGCTGATACTCAGCGGTGGGACTGTCACTCCGCTCATCCTCTGAAGCACTACTCAAGAAACACATGAAGGCTCGCATTATGCGCAGTTCCTGTGAGCATCATTGACATTCTATCAATGATCATGTGTGAGGAGTATAATGAAAACTCTGGATTGAGAGGGGAATGGGTATGAATAATTGTCAGCAAAGTCTTTTTTTCTCTAAAAGAGCGTAAAACATCACACTGTCTTTTCAAAACATGAACACCTACACGCTGAGGCTATTCAAGGCCACAGTACCCAGGGTGGTACCATGTGGATTAAATGCACATTCAAACGAGTACACTGCCTTCCTGTATAATTGCTCATTGCTGGAATATATAAGCACAAAGTAGGAAAGCAATATATTACAGTGAACAGTGGCCGAGCAACTCCTCATCACTGTGCCGATGCCTTCAGGGACAGCAGCATTAAAATATGTTTAACTAATAGACAAATGCTAATCAGTCAAATACAATATGTTCTCATTCTTGGTCATCCAGTGGTTCATGAAGAAATCTGTAGTTTTGGGCTCTGAGAACATGCCATTGAAGTTATCCACTACTTTATACATTTCTAAGCTGTACAATTAAGCGATTTATTATATATATTATAACCTAGTATATAGATTATTCCAAGTTAGCTTGCGGCACTTTATCAACTATATGTTTTAGTTTATAACAATTGCAAAAATAGAAAGTATTAAAATCATAATCATCCCCTTAGCCAAACACTGCTCTTGCTAAAATTAGGAAAAGTCATTAAATATTAGGTTGATATACCAAAATTTAGGATGATTTTGGTGCCATCATTAGAGAGAGCCTAAGATGGCCCAGAACATAAGAGAAAGACACATTAGGAACATTATGTTTCTGCTCTTAAATAATGATCAAAATGGGATCACAGACCGTTGTAAGATATTAGTTACAATAAGGTTTCTAGAGTCTTCATCCATAATTTAAGAAATAGCTCAAAACTATGAGCAACATTTCCCTGAAACATCCTCATAAATGACCACAAAGCTTAACTGTTCGTCAACTCTATTACAATTCCCCCTTCAGTAGCATGAGGTCCATACAGATTAAATTGTACTTGAGTTCATCACCACACAGATAAATTATTAAACTCGGCCAAACCCAAGCCGTGACCACCAAGGTTATCTTAATTTATTTTTTATTTTGTAACGTCAGCGTTGTCTCCTCCACAGATTTGTTAAGGCAGTCGGTTTGAAAGAATGGCTTTAAGCTCCAAACCACTTAATGCTCACATCCCTCTGTGTCTACCTCTCTCTCCTGCTAACCTACTCTACTCTAATATTGATAGATTCATTCATCCATCATTCATGTGTCTGATCATTAAGGGACTCCAAAAGTGTGTTTGTGTGTGTTTTTATGAATATCCCTTGGGATTTGTTGCTCTCAACCCAGGTTTATGGTTTTATGCACGGAGCTTGGTATGGTACCACTTAGCATTTAATAGGTCAGCTCAACAATGATATTGTGGCCTTTGGGAGACGTCTGCAAATAAACTGGGTGTCTCGGAGTGAGTAAATAGATGGCTACGGGTTTGGGTGTGTTTTTGTTTGACTTAAAGGAAGGCATTGAGAGACGTCAGTATGTACTGTAAGTGTTTGCTTACAGTACATACGTACGTATCGAAGTTTATCCTCAGGCGAATAAAGGTCATTTCGGTTTTAATGTTTATGATGGATTGTATGTAGAGATGGCTAAAGTTGGTGGTGACAGAACGTGTAACACAAAGCAAGAAGAAATTGGGTTTGGTATTTCTATAATGGCCTGTAATGGTAAACTCACAACTCTCATTATCTGTTTGGACAATATTCTGTCCATCCACATCATTACACACACACTCAAACACACATTTACTGTAGATTTACTGACGCACAGTTTCTCTCTCTGATGCACTCTCACAGCTCAGCTTGGTGGGAGATCATTGTCTGAGCCCCCCTGATCGACTGTCTCCTTGGGATCACATTTCAGCCCATTAACACCATTAAAAAGCCACTAGAACCTCAACCAACCAGCAACCATTTAACCATTAAGACCCACAGGAGGAGAAAAACCGCCTCATAAGTCACAGCACCCTTTGTGTCCAGCTTCTATTAAAAAATATGTATCTTAATACAGTATGTATAATATTGTAGTTGATGTACATAGTGTCTGTTATGTAAAATACTCAATTAGTGGAAAGTCAGAACATTAATTGATTTTCTTTTTAATTAATTTATCTAAAAAAAAATAACAACAATTCTCTAGTTTCAGCTCATCGAAATAAAAAATGATTTAAAAAAAACGTTTTATAAACTAATAAAATAGATAGAGAAGAAGAATAAAGAAGAAGAATAAAGATTCTATCATTTAAACTAAACACATCATTGATTTAAAACAAAGGTCGTACAATGCCAGTTTATTCAAATGAATTTGCATATTGTTAATGCCACATTTTGAATGTCCACCTCGTGCTATGTTTGAGAAGTGATTTCAAGAAGTGGGTTTCTCAGAAGTACATTTGCAAGGACCATGAAACTCATTTCAGATTGGTCTTTCACTCCGTGAAATCTGAGAGCTTTTAGTTTCCTCCAGTAAGTTCAGCTCAGAGTGAAGGACAGTGACAGGACAGTTATATTCTATACAGTACAATATGTGAAAATAAGGGTTATTTATTTGAAAAAAATAGCTTTACAGTCATTTATAATAATGATATACTGTAATATTATATGCAAAACTACATTTAGCATGGTTTAATATCCGTAGCTGTCCTAAAGCCCTGACATGATGTAGGTGAGGAGCTTTGACCGTGACAAGCTTGTTCACATCATTAACTTGCAGAGAACGAGTTAATGACACTTTTATTTTGTTATCCAGCAGCAGCTCCACCACCTACGTGATGGAGGAGGACGAGCCGTCCTTTCTGGAGGCGATAGACTACAGCGCAGAGAGCGGCGATGAGGACGGAGAGCCTGAAACCGAGCACGTCACCGAACTCCCAGAAAACCCCGATCACCCGGAGCAGCTGTCAGACTCTGAGACCAATCACAGGGAATAATGCTGAGCTGTTTATCTCCTTTACACCTGGCAATACTAGCATAAACATGTCACTGCTTGGATTTTAAGCTGATCTTAAATATTTTATAGGTGTAGTAGTCAGGACCCTCCCTTTGCCTGGTTGATAAATACCTTAGCTCACCACCTGACCCTGTTACATAGACACCTACTGATATTATGTAGGCGACATTGAGGTGCTCCTCCCAGTCGGATCCGTGTTGCCGGCCCACTGGAGACAACTCTGTCGCTCAATGAATGTTCACACCTCTCACCATCATACTATAACCTCCATGAAGCGTAACCCCTGACCTCAGACACCATATAGCCTCTGAGATTCACGTATATCTAGCCGGAGCAGCAAACAGCACCACAGGTCCTTAACTTGAACCCGCGTCCACTCGCTCATGTCTCACAGCTGACCTTACACTAAAGCTGCCTGACGAGGCTGTACTATTGTAACGGAGCTGCTGTAGGTACTGTTTTTAAACCCCTCACTCACATCACCCTGTGTTTGGTGATAAGAGATCCAACCAACCTGCCTTCTTATTTCCTTTACCTTTCTTCAGTCTGCACTTTAACTTTTTACTCCTTTTGGTGACACTCCCTTATGTCCTTTCTTGCTTGCGTCCGTCCTACTTCCTTTCCTTTTTTTCTGACAAACCAAGGTAGTGGTTGTCTTAATGGGGAGACCAAACGGCTCAATCTTAGCTTAGCTGCAGGTTATCCTCTTTCATCCTGAGTGTAGTGTGTAAAAACACCTCCTCAGATCTACCTTGAGTCGTGACCTCACTCATCCTCTCTTTAACTCCTCCCTCTTTGGCTGCAGTGCACGTGGTCCCATCACCCATGTGCTGTTTGCCCTGCTTTATCCAAAATGGAAGCTATTATATTGCTAAATGTAGAATGTTCACATCTTCGAGACAAACCTTGTAGTATAAAATAAATGCAGATATAAAAAACACACAATAACTAATAACACAGGTCTGGTTTGAGGTCCTCGTTCATGCACAGCATAATAAAACATGAAGATGGAATGTAAAATACACACACGCACTGTTGGTGTTTTAATTGTTTTTAATAATAGACAGTATTATAATGTTAGGCAAAGCAGTAGCGAACAAGACGCATGAGCTGCCGGGAGCAGAAAACCCTTTTGCACTTTGGATAAACACTAGACGCAAAACAAAGAGAAACAAACACTTTACATGTCACAGTTAGCTAACTTCAACTTCAGTCCTCTCACTAGTGTGAAGTTCTCAGAGCCCGGCACAAAGCTGGCGCATACTTTGTTGTTTTAAAAGTTATACTGGAATTTAGTTTCCCTCTTATCCTTTCCTCCAATCTATATGTATATTTGTGGATTTTCAGAGGAGAGACCCATGCATATAAACAGATGGTGCTTTGTATTGAGAGTAAAAATGTAGTTTGTTTGTTTGATTATGTCTTTTATTTGTTCTTGGGGAGAAGGTATGTTTCTGTTGTACAGCGAGTGCATGGCTATTTTCTCTTGGTTATATTTTGTAATTTATGAGATGGAAACCTGTATGTATATGAGGCTTTTTGAGTGAGTATGAGTGCAAGTGAGTGTGTGTGTGTAGGAGTTTTAAGTTATTCCATTATTCAGCTCAGCTAATGCTCTTACAGTGTGTTTCTCCTTATTTGATTATCCGCTCTCACCCTCCTTCACTCTACCCAATCACGTTCTCTCTCTCCGTCACTTCAACCTCTTTCATTTCCTTGTTTTTCTCTTTCTCTCGGCTTACTTTCCTTTCAGATTTTACTCATGAACAACAGATATAGCTAGGGAGGTCATTGTTCCTGGCATCTGTGTGTATAAAGGATATATGATCTGAAAAATGTCCCTCTGAATTATGTGTGCTGTACTTATTTATGTTTGTCTGTAGAATGTTATGTCTGGTTATTTTTGTTTTGTGTTTGTTTTGAGGTAAACAGGCTGTGATAGCGACTCATTTTAGGTTGATTGTAATGCAGAAAATGGGAAGCCATGGGAAATAAAATGTGAATGTGGTAAACTGTCAGCTGTATTTTATTTTTCTTAATAACTGTCCTCTTGCAGACTTCCTCTCAAACTTGGTAGAGGAACTGTAATGTATCCTAACTGAGTTATGGGGAGACAGCGCTTTGATTGGCAGAACAAACCAGAAACATAAACAGGGAAAATGTTTTTCAAAAAATCTGGGTCTTATTTTCATAGTTTTGGTTTCACCTTTAGTTTCATCCTCCTACGTTGTTTTAGATAACTAGTTTAAACTGGATCTTTTTTAAACAATCCCTCATATTTTCAAAACGTGTACACTCCGTGAAAGCTGAAAGCAATTTCCCTTTCCACAAAGTAACCTGGTGAGGAAAATGTCAGTAGCACTGGTATAAACGTCCTTTGAAATTGTGAAATTGAAATACTTTCACATTACGAATAAAGATATTCTGATTCAGATTTTAGATAATCAGGGGACATTGTTAATTTAGGTACAGTATTAGCAATCTGATGGCTATGTGTATTGGGTTTATGAGTTTGACCAATGAGGGCACGAGATAAGTGTGTGTACAGATGGAAGGCTGACAGGCAGGTAGGCCATCCAGTTATTTTATCCGGGCCGGCCCGGTCGTGCTTTTTACAGTAGCCTACTACGGCTTCCACAGATGACATTTTGTTATGGATTTTTTGTCAAAGCACTTCAGATATTCATTGCTATCGGATGTTAAGACCATTCCATGGAATATAACAAAAAGTGTATCTCGAGCCGGTTTCTCAAACTTACCTACCTAAACTCAATAACTTTTGTTGTGGTAAAAAAAACAAGCAACTTTGTTAGATTAAAAACACCATTTGTTGCTGTAATTATTCTTCCTGTTCGAATTGAAAAGATCCTTTCCTAAATCTGTTTTATAGTTAAATCAAATCAGTGACCTCATTCTGGTCTAAATACTGTATCATTTAAAAGTTCAACCAAAGCTAATGTGATGCTTCAGCCGTCAGAGTTATCGGTTAATAAAAAAGTATTAACCTCAGAAGAAACTCACAGGATTTGACTAATAACATTTATATTCGGCTGAACTTCACTTAATATTTCATTCACAGTCAGTGTGAACAAGAGGAACGGTGAACTCATACGTATGGCCATGGCAGCATTGTTTGTGGACAGATGTAATTGAATACACTCTACATGTGTGTCATATCTATTGATCCACCTATTCTTTTCTGCACAGATAAGGGGAAATAATGCCTCTATATGTCTATCTAGATTCATATCTATTATTATCTGCAGATTAATGATTCTTGTTAATGCAAATGCATTTTTACAGGTGATAAAGCGATAAAGTTTTTGAATTGTTGAATCTAAAAGAAGATGCTTTAAAGATCTGATGTTATCTGATGTTTTTGTCCTCAATCAACCTCCTAGTGTGCAGCAGCTTCCAGTTCATTATTCAGAGCTTTGAAATATATATATATCATTTTTAACACTAGCTATTAGGAGAGGTAAAACTATGTTCTTATTACTACGACATGATCTTTACAATTAACCCCTGAAACATGTCAGTCTACAGCACTGCCTGCTTTTGGTTTGAGTTGATTTATTCCTGGGCTAATAGAGCATAAGTAGATACTCCATCATTTCTTGTCAGTGGCACAGTTGTGTACGCATTTGTTTAGCAATGTACCTCCGCTGCTTAAGTGCCCCCGAGTAACCTAATCTTTTGCTTCTGAGGAAATGAACAAGGCGAGAAGGGGCAAACAAAAAGCCAGCACAAGCATGTCTTTAAAAGAGGATTGTATGATGCTGAATAGATATAAATGGACAGAGGGATTGAGAGGAGGGGGAAAGAAAGGCATGGCAGAGAGAAGAGAGAGAGTGAAAGCAGGAGCGGAAGAAAAAAGCAGAGAGGAGGACGAGAGGAATTTGGAGAGGTGGAGGAGAATGTTAATCTGAGGAAGGCAGCGGGGGGGAGAAAAGCTCTTTTCCTCTCTAAGCCCCACGCCCTCACTTCCTGTCCCTGCTGTCAATCAGAGCAGCTGAAGTGCACCATACAAAAGCCTTCTCTCCCCTATATCCTCCAACTACCACCAAAAACACCAACCCCAACCAACCAATTAACTACTCTGGTCAGGGTGGAGGAGTTTGAACCACTCCTGCAGGTTTCTCATGTTCATCAGAGACCCCTCATCACAAATCTCTCTCCCCCTGTCCCACGCATCCATGCAGGCACCATGCCCACGCCCCCCCCCCATCCTCACACTGACCGGATCATTTCTGTAGTCTAAGTGTGGCTTTGCGGGCCTCCAGGAGCGAAGCCAATTAGTGCCAGTGTCCGACTCTGCTGTTTCTCTCCCTCACTGGTGGTCCCACTGAGGGGCAGAAAGGCTGCCATGAAAAGGTACAAGTCCACAAAGAGCGGCCGGACAAAGACGTGTGTGTGTGTGTGTGTGTACAGGCTGCATGTCACAGCACACACACTGAGAGAGGTGTGTGTGTGTGTGTGTGTGTGTGTGTGTGTGTGTGTGTGTGTGTGTGTGTGTGTGTGTGTGTGTGTGTGTGTGTGTGTGTGTGTGTGTGTGTGTGTGTGTGTGTGTGTGTGTGTGTGTGTGTGTGTGTGTGTGTGTGTGTGTGTGTGTGTGTGAGAAGGACATAAATTGCAGCTGGTGATAAAGAAGACAGCTTGACACGGATGACAGATGCAAACACATCGAGTTAAAAATCAAATGCCTCGCAAACATTCACACAGACCCACTTTTTCTCTTTTGCATATGAATAGCCCTAGATAGTAGACACACACACACACACACAGACATAATTGGTTACGTAGGGAGCAGAGCCAACTTGCACCTCTCGTTTCCGTGGCAACCAGAGAGACTGATTTTTCTAGAAGCACTTACTCACATCCCGTCTGTTATTCACTTGTTTGTTCATTCATTTCTCCTTTTAGCATTTCTTTATACAACTCTCTCTCTCCCTCTCTCTCTCTCTGCTTTTCAACCCATTTCCATTCCCTCCTCTTCTCCAATAAGATGCCCTCTTAGCATGCATATGCAAATGAAGCAGACTTGAAACCAATTAAAAGGTATTGAATAACGAACAGCATTGTTTCCTGAGAGATAGATGCTAAGACCCACTGACACAACATCTGAGCAGTTACACTGTCTGTGCAATATCAATTTGAACAGCCCTTGCCTGTTTCATCGGCACAATTCGACTGATTTGATCACTTCATCTGCATTAGTGGACCTCTTTTTTAACCCAAATGTAGCATCACTTTACCTCCCATCCCTTTCCAGTTCCTTCCTAACTAAGCGTTTGCATCTTGTCCTCGACTTCCCCCCTCAACGCCCCCGCAGATCTCTCCAGTGTGTATCAGGTTAACATTGGCTAACAAAGCAGGAAACAGGAAGCATATATTGCCCCATAGACAGAACTCTGGAGATACTAGATGGACACACACACACACACACACACACACACACACACACACACACACACACACACACACACACACACACACACACACACACACACACACACACACACACACACACACACACACACACACACACACACACACACACACACACACACACCACACCACACACACAAATATCGTTCTGCAGAAAATGGGGAAAATATGTCACAACTCCAGAGCAGGTTATAGCTTGCACATCTTCCGGCGCAAACTGAAAACTCATCTCTTTCGACTCCACTTCGAGCGTTAGAACTATTAACGAAGCACTTTTATACTAATAAAGGACTGGCTTACCTAAAGCCAGTTGAGTAGCACTTGAAATGTTTGGCTCTATGAAACCTGATGTACTTATATGATTCTGTTTTCTTCAAGGTTGTGTCTTCCTGGTCGAATGTACTTATTGTAAGTCGCTTTGGATAAAAGCGTCAGCTAAATGCAATGTAATGTAATGTAATGTTATAATTTTAGGAAAGATTTAGAGGGAAAAAAGACAAAACACACTGTTCTGTGCAGTTTGGAAATATATACAAAATATTCAGTTTCATCTAGTATTGTTTTGCTTTCAATAAGTTAGACTTGTGGCAAAAGGATATCATGTATATTTCTCAATAGCGGTGAAGGGCCGGATGCAGACTGGTCAAGTGCTACAAAACATGCAGGATGAGACCTTACCCAGCATACATTTAATTTGACCTTGGTGATTTTAATTGAACATCACAGAGGAAATATACTTGTATTCACACACAAAGGAGGAAAGAGTAAAAGATGATAAGAGGAAACATTAAAATCATATAAAGAATGAAAGTTAAGATTGAAGTAAGGGTAGAAGAAGACAGGAAGAAAAAGATGCTGAGAAAGAGGGAACGGAAGAAGGGACAGCTCTATAATCTTGTGTCAGCTTTCTGTCAAAGAGAGGGAGAGATGCTGAAAGAAATCCGGACAAAGAGACAGCTCTGATAGTCCTGTGTCAGCGTCCAGTCAGAGCGCAGACCAAGGCGACCTGGGGACGTCGATGGATGGACGCCAGGAAGGATAACAGCCACAACCCTCATGTTAACACAGCGACTTACACACTCTCCACATTGTGCACATGTTTGCATAAAACACACTTAGCAAAAAGCATAAAGCATTGTAAGTTGATGGGGTACAGACAGTAAACAGGGTCCTAATGAACGTGCTAGAACCGGTGAGAGGGGATGATGGATCCAGAGAGAGACTGACACAGACAGACTGGCACACAGGCTGTCTCAGGAGTGTAATTAATATGCACGTTAAAGTATGTCTGCTATAGATGTATGAGTGCAGCCATATACCCACTGTCTTTTTCCTTTCTCGACAGCTCAATGCAATGCAGCCAAAGATAAACAAAAGACAAAACACCAGCAAATAAGAAAGCGTCCCACCAATTTCACAAATCATATGAAGTATTACAAAGAATACTGTAAATATAGAAGATATTAAGGTTCCGACTTTGTTAAAGAGCAGCATTTCTTTCCTGAGCCTGTATTATGTCTGCAGCAGATATGTGCAGTCATATCTGAGTCATGAACTTGAGATGTTT